AGATAAGATTTGGATGCGTGACCTTCTCCTAGTATGTGACCTAAATCATCGAATGGGTCTTGTGTTTGGGTACATGTTGTTGGAGATCTGATTTTTTTTTTCTTTTGAGTAATGTTGTTGGAGATCTGATGGGAGGCGGCTGTTAGCCATTAAACTACGAACCACTTGGGAGCCATCGCCCAACCTTTTGTGCGCTCCCTGCAGCCCTGCTGTGTAATCTTCTTCAACTGGAGGTTAATTAATCTTAACGGGGACTGTCAGTGCACGTGAGCACAAGTGGAATTCATCTATCCGCTCGAGGAAACCTTTTGGTGGCTCTAGGTCTAGGGCCAGCAGCACCAGGAGATCGATCGCCTGGACGTCCGGACGAGACTAGCTGGCGCCGCAGCCGATGACGAATTTCTTTAATCGAGTTCGTGCGTGCTCTACTTGTTGCGGTTGTCCCTGTACCCAGGACAGTGATAGCAGCAACGCCAGCGCGCAGCTGGTAGTAACAAAAGCTGCTCCCTGCCTAATCCTCGCTAAAATAAACGCATCCGTATTGCTAGTGGCTTGGTGGAGTGCAGCGCAGCAGTACGTGACACGGCGACATCAGACATGGGCCTCGTTTAGTTCCGCCGAATTGGCGGCGGCAGGAACACTGTAGCAGCTACAGTACCGTTTTGTTTTTATTTGCTAATAATTGTTCAGTTGTTGACTAATTAGCTTAAAACCCAACCAAACTGGAAATTAGGATTTCATCAACATTTAAGACTTCTGCATCACTTTGAGGCGATCAGTTTCTCCTAAACGCGGCCATGGTGGCGTAAGTTGCTTGGGCCGAGCTGCATCACCGAGGCCTTGATTTACTCCTATTACATCGCATGTTTGACACATGTATAAAGTATTGAATATAGAAAAAGATAACTAATTATACAGGTGGTGTCTAATTTGCGAGACGAATTTTTAAGCCTAATTAGTCCATGATTTGACAACGTGGTGCTACAGTAAATGTACGCTAATGATGAATTAATTAGGCTTAATAAATTTATCTCGTGGATACTGAGGACTTCTGTAACTTGTTTTATTATTACTATCAAATACTCCCCCGTGATATTCGATGCGACGTCCCAGACTTTAGTTTCTGAATTTAAACGCCGCTGAATGATACCTGTGCCTTTATACTCGTACTTCTGCTTGCCATTCATTCTTCCAGGGCCCTTTGAAACGTACGGATCAGTTCATTTTTAAGAAAGACACTGGAAATATGAAAGTTTCCTCTATTCCAAAAAGGTCTTAAGTCGAAAACAGACACGATTTTCTTTTTCTTGATTCACGAAACAGACCCTATATTGATACTACATCCATCTCTAAAACGCACACACACACGCTGCTTCATTATAGGTGCCGCACTATCAATTCTAAAATAAAAAAAATACGAGCATCAGTGTCAACTTGAAGAACCTAACCAATTTGCTACTTTACTAGTCATCTCTAGTGTGAATACTTTTGTGAAAATAATGTGATTCTAGTTTTGTTCCAAGTTTTGCTATTTACAGTTTGACAAATAAGTCTATAAAAGAGAGTAGCAATATTTGTAACGAGGAATAAGTATATTGAGAAAATATATTCCATGCCAGATTTAATTATGCTTCTCATTTGGCGTCATAAATAAACAGGTTTTCAATATAAATTTGATTAAACTTAAAAAACTAGACGATACTATGCTATTGTTTTTTTTAGAACAGAGGAGTAGCTTGAACCACCGAACTAGTGACCTAGCTGAAAGAAAAGGTGTCATTCTTTGTGCCAGCTGAATTCACTCTTCAGTTACCCGCCAGAGTCTGCAAATGTGAAAACAGAAACCCAAAAACCCGGTCATCACTCGCTTTGGTCTAGTACAGGTACACAGAAACGTTGAGACCGAAAGACGGTGGTGGATCCACCATCGTCGTAGCAGCAGCAGACCGACGACGACTGACCTGACCTGGTCAGCAGGTCAAGCGAGGTCATCCGGGAGACTTGAAACGTTCTCGTCATACATTTGATTGACTCATTAAACAAACAGACCAACATCATCATCACTCTGTGAAGTGTGAATCTTAGTTAGATATTATAAACAGCAACGCACATTAAACAAACGAACCGTCCTTTTTGCGTGTGTGAGTCGTGGGAGAGAGAGAGAGAGTTCGAAAGTCTAGTTCAAATGCAGGTGTTTCCATACCTTGGGGTCAGGGTAATTGAGACTCAGATTCAGACCCTTTCCTCGGACCCGTTCTTGCTGTTTCGTACGGCTCCTTTCCCCCTTCTTTCCCAGAGAAAGAAAAACACTGGCCATATTTAACTCCTGTAACTATAGCAGAGAAAAGGCATTGCTCTTCAGACTTCAGTTGCAGCGGCCGTTTGCAGAAAATCAAGCTTCATCAGCAGCTTTTTACTACAAGTGCTTCTTTTGTGCACGTCCGTTGCGAAAAACCGACAGCAACCGCTCCTTTTACCCGGAGGAAGAAAAGGGCTAGTACAACAGTGTGGGAATTGGACGCGCCCTCGTCTTTCGTCTCGTGTCACCCGTCAAAAATGAGAGATGCTGCGGCGAGCGCTACCAGCAGCATATTCGGTTGGCGGGTTCGTATCGTTGCTGATTTATTTATGTATAAGAAAAGTACTACTGGTTGGTTTATGTGAATAGTGTCCATATGAGGAGGCTGGCCAGCCAGCCCCAGCCGATCACGCTGTAGATGCTGAGTAGACGTCAGCCCGTGTTTAGTTGCGTGAATTTTAGAATTTGAGCTACTGTAGCACTTTCGTTTTTATTTAGCAATTAGTGTTCAATTATAGACTAATTAGGCTCGAAACGTTCGTCTCGTAATTTCCAATCAAACTGTACAATTAATTTTTTTTCGTCTACATTTAATGCTCCATGCACGTATCGTAAGATTCGATGTGATAGGTACTATAATATTTTTTAGGAAAAGTTTTTAGAACTAAACGAGGGCTCAGTTTCATGCCGGCTAGGGGCGGCCGTGTCCACGCTACCGTTCAGGCGATGGATGCCCGCGTGTCGCCGAAAAGTTGCGCGGCGACCTGGCACCGTGGCGACACGGTCGCCGGATGCGCGGGGCTTTGCCTGCCTTCTGACGGCGGCGGTTCCCGATCCGTTCCGCCTCCATCCCGGGACGCGGTGCGCACCAGGGCCCGGGGGGCCGGGCGGACCGACGCGTGACACGGGCGGACGGTTCGGTTCTGTGTGCCGCGCTCGGCACAGTTCCTCCGCCCGGTCCGCGGCTACAGGCGGCCTGGCCTGTGTTTTTTTTTCTCCCGTCGCGGACCCATGGACAAGACGACCCGTTGACTCCACTCCATCAGGGGAAGGGCGCGTCGTTCGCGAGGGCCAGGACAACACGGTCCCTGAATGACAGCCACGAGAGGAAGAATAATGCGCGCTCGGGCGGGAGAGGAGAGAGAACCTTTGGAAAGGCACAAGGCATTTCGAGCGGCGTCCGTAGAAGCCAAATCACGGCTGATAGATAGGTGAACTACTCAATAGCCCTGATAAAGAGGCCCTTAGATTGAGCTATCTACACTGTCTATGCTATGTGTTGTAGCATTTGATACGTAAATGTACATGTTGTTCAGTCCACGGTGTCGCAACGATTGTCACGTGGCTTAAGATCTAAGTTAGAAACCATAAGTCACTCGTGTGGCTATCATGCTGCAGAAATATTCTCTCTTATTGCTTAGTTTTTTTCTTCACTTGTGTGATCACGCGATAAAAGCTCTGTCCATTATTTCTAACACTTTACTAATTCGTTAATTTGAACAATGAATACAAAAGGAAATATAATGCACGAAAATGCACTCGGGCGAGAGAGAACCTTGAGAAAGGCAAAGATTCGATCATCATCCGTGAAAATAAGTTCAGTTTCAGCTTATGCCATGTACCACTTGATCATCCGGTCCATCATATTGTAACGCTTGTGACGTGGTTTGTAATTATGATATTGTAAGGCATTCGTGCAGCTACCGTACTGTACATATATTCTTCCGCTAGTACTTTTATTCTCCCATGCCATCACAACGAGAAAAAACTTAACTTTGTTTGTTATTGCTAGAACTTTTATTTATTAATTTGAAGAAGGAATATTGACCCGTTACATATACCACGTGTCGGTTAACCTGGATAATATATATTTATGGGTAACCATTTATCAGTATTGTAACGCTTTGTCATATGACTTTGATTAAACCTAGTGTTGCGCAATGCGATTTTTCATTCTTTTAGACTAGTAAGTATATATATAGTATCAAGTATGAACACCATTGTTCGTTGAGCCATGGATTGAGAGTGAAAACCTTGACCCCTCTGTCTCTAATCTAATGAGAGTAGGATCGTCGTAGCTAGGCTTAAGATAGCGACGCACCCGTCGCACGCACGCACGGGCACGGCGGCTTACGCCTCAACCGCGGGGGCCAAGAACGGGACGAAACCCTCCTCTCATACAAAGGCAGCCGCAGAGGCGCACACAGCCAAAAGCAACCACAACCCCGAAGGCTTCCTTCCACTTCTTCCTCTTGCTCTCTCTCCTCTCCTCCCCTGCTCGGCTACTCGCCTACTCGCCAAGCCAGGGGAACCCAGCCCCGTACGCACAGGGTCGCCCACGCCACGCGTACGCAGCCGCGGCGGAGGGCCATCCGATGGGCTGCTGCTGCTCCTCGCTGCGGGCGGGGACGCACCCTGAGAAGAAGCCGCCGGGGAGGGCGGCTGGGCGCTCCCCCCGCACCGCTCCTCCTACTCGCTGAATCAGCACCAGACGCCTGCGCCCTCCGCGGCTCGCGCGAGCGCCGGCGCGCGCCAGGTGCCGCCGCTCAAGGAGTTCTCGCTCGCGGAGCTGCGCGCCGCCACGGGCGGCTTCGCGGCGGAGAACATCGTGTCCGAGAGCGGCGAAAAGGCGCCGAATTTCGTGTACAAGGGCCGCCTCGAGGCCAGCCGCCGCGCGATCGCCGTTAAGAAGTTCACCAAGATGGCGTGGCCCGATCCCAAGCAGTTCGCGGTACGCTACTACGCCCTATGGCAGGACGGCCTCGCCCTCGGGGTTCGGCTGCCGCCCCCCGCGCGCGCGCGCTCCCTGATTCGGGATGGAATTCGCTGCCCTGAACGCTTTGCTTCTTCTTTTGCTCGCAGGAGGAGGCCAAGGGGGTCGGGAAGCTGCGCCACTGCCGCCTGGCCAACCTGATCGGCTACTGCTGCGACGGGGACGAGCGGCTGCTCGTCGCCGAGTTCATGCCCAACGACACGCTCGCCAAGCACCTCTTCCACTGTACGTTTGCTCTTACCGATCCTTTACCCATTGGTCCATTTCTCTGGATTTCTGGTTGGCTGCGAGATATATCTGGTTGACCATTTTCGGTAAATACAGCCTGCAAAGATTTTGTCCTTGTCGGATTCGATCCCTGATTAGTGCGGAACTTGGCAAAAAAAGACGAATCCGTGTGCTCTGAGCAACTGCTGGCGCTTAGCAGCCTCCCGCATTTGGTGTACCAAACGAATGATTGATGATTGGGCTAGGCTTTGTCGTATGCAATTCCTTATCTGGCTGTTGTTGGCATGGTCGTTGTGTGAATCCATAGAATCAGATTATGGCGGCTGCATTGAACACATGGTATAATTTTAATGCATCACTGTTCTGTGTTCACAAGTTCTGTTCATTGTTTTGGATGGGTGGATGACTAGAATTCACTCAGACGATTTCATAGCCGAATCTTCTCACTGTGGAACTTAAGAAACTGCTGTGTTCTAGAATGCCTATTGGAATTAAGCAGTTCATTTATGAACTAAATGTTTGGATATGTATAATTTGTTTCCGATGAACAGCCTGACCCTAGGGTGCATGGGCAAGTTTGGGTTTGTTGGTAACGATAGCCCCGGTTGATAACTGGTGCTTAATTTCTTTGTGAACATTAGGGCATGTCTTTACTTCTTTTGTTAATCTAGACTGCATAGACTGTGGTGTATGTAGGTCAGTTCACTGTTGATACTGCTTTTACTCTTATTCAGGGGAAAACCAGACAATTGAATGGGCTATGCGCCTGAGAGTTGCATACTACATCGCTGAAGCACTGGAGTATTGTAGCACTGAGGGAAGGCCTTTGTATCATGACCTCAATGCTTATAGGGTCCTCTTTGATGAGGTAACTATTACTTTGATTTTCCTTTTTTTCTTACGGGCAATGGAGTTATATGGAGAACTGCCAATAGACTATAGTATCATAAAGCTGAGAAAATGTGGATAATATTGTTTTCGCTACAAATATCTCTTGTGCAACTGCCAAGTATTGCTGTGTTCCTCTGACAAGAGCAGCAATTGATTCCATTTGCTTTTACCATCAGCGTGGATGTTTTCTCTCCCTCATCTGAAATTGGAAGTGTGGAGGGGTTTGTTGCCACCTGTTTCCACCTCTAGTGGTTGGAAGGAAAAATGTATTAATTAAAATAGAAATGTCATCTCTTTTTCATTAAGATTTCACTAAAAATGGTATATTCAGCCTTAAAGGCAGGTCTTTAGATAGTAATGCCGTATTGGCAAACATGTTCTTTTTCGAAAGCTGATTAGTATCCTTATGAGGAATGCTCTTTGTGATGACGCCAATTGCATGTTACAGCACTTTGCATGCTTCTCAAACTCTACTAATCCTGTGTGCGCTGAACAACCAAAATAATTTCTTTTGCAGAATGGTGATCCTCGTCTTTCATGCTTTGGCCTGATGAAAAACAGCAGGGACGGGAAAAGTTATAGCACAAATCTTGCATATACACCTCCGGAATATTTGAGAAATGGTAAAATATGATTTATCAATGACAAAGATAATCTTCTTTGAATTGTTTAGTTAGGGTATTTAGAAGTGATATAAATAACAGTACATGCTATTTACTGAAAATAGAATGGCTAACATTTTCGTAATGATGGGATTTCCGTGGCAACCTTTGCTGCTCCAGGAAGGGTAACATCAGAAAGTGTCATATTCAGTTTTGGCACTATACTGCTGGACCTCCTAAGTGGAAAGCGTATACCTCCTTCCCGTGTAAGTTTTTCTTACTAGTAACTATTTCTTTCCTAGTTCATGATATAGAAGTACAGAACACCTTTCACAAAATACCTTTGTATTTAATACTATTCTGTGCATATCTGCTTTGCGCAAGTGCCACCAAATGTGTGATACTGATCATCTTTGAGAGGTTTTTTTTTTTCTTGCGAATGTGACTTGGTAGCAAAACTGTTTAGTGAAACTACTTAATCATTGACAATTAGATTCATTTCACTCAGGCTCTTGATATGATAAAAGGCAACAATATCCAAGTACTGATGGATTCACATTTGGAGGGAAACTACTCAACAGATGAGGCAACCACATTGGTTGACCTTGCCTCTCAGTGCTTACAGTATGAACCTAGGGATCGGTCCAACACTAAAAAGCTGGTTTCCGTACTTGAGCCCTTGCAAATAAAATCAGAGGTAACAGTTACCTTTTTATCCTTCTCAATTAAAAATCCTTTTGTGCTCTGGCATCGATTGTTTATTGTGATGTGATTCATGGCTTCCATACAATCTCTTTTGGTAACGAGGCAATTTTTTGTTTTTACTTACGTATGCTGCATTTCCATTTTTAAATGACAAACAGGTACCATCCTATGAGATGCTTGGCATTCCAAAGTATGAAGAAGAAGCACCTCCCCCTCCACAACCACAACACCCTCTTTCTCCCATGGGTGAAGCCTGTTCTAGGATGGATTTGACAGCTATCCATCAGATTCTAGTGAATACACATTACAGGGATGATGAAGGGAGTAATGAGGTAAAGATCAGAGCATTTCTGTTGCTGTCTGCTGACTTTTCGACAGGGTATTATCTAAGAAAAATGGTGTCTTTTGCAGCTATCGTTCCAGGAATGGACACAGCAGATGAGGGACATGTTGGAAGCTAGGAAACGTGGAGACTTTGCTTTTCGTGATAAAGATTTCAAGGCAGCCATAGATTGCTACACACAGGTGCCACATCTTAGTTATATCGGGAGCACATTGATATTCTAGAAAATTGCTAGAGTGCAGCCAATTCACATCGCTACCTCTTCATTATATTGCAGTTTGTTGATGTGGGGACGATGGTATCACCAACAGTGTACGCAAGGCGGAGTTTGTGCCACCTCATGTGCGACCAACCTGATGCTGCCCTCCGCGACGCAATGCAAGCACAATGCGTGTACCCAGATTGGCCAACTGCGTTCTACATGCAAGCTGTTGCGCTCTCAAAGCTGAATATGCAGAGTGATGCTACGGACATGTTGAACGAGGCGTCGCAGCTCGAAGAGAAGCGGCAGAAGAACACAAAACCTTGAAACGGTTCCTTTTGCGGCTCAAAAAGGTTCATGTTGAGACATGCTGCTCGGTCCTTCCTAAACACTGTGGTTAGTTCCTGGTCCAGGGGTTGGGAATGTAACTGGGGGTGGGGTGGGGTACATTCCTGTGATTGTTACTACCTGGTTTGGCATTTCTGTGATGCATTTTTTGGGCCCGTGTACATGTTACATTGACAAAAGTCGAAACAGGCAGAATGCAAGGGGATTTTCCTTCTGGTTGTCAAAATCTGAGCTTGTTTATTCAGTGAGCTCCAGAGTCTCTGACTGGCTAACGGGCCGTGCTGACGAAATATGTCCGGCGGTCTACCGAGGGGTGTGTCCACGGTAGTAGATGAATCGGAGGATGTGCGCGTGAGGGAATCGGATGGTGACACAGAACGTAAGAAACAACAATTAGGCACGTTCAGGCCATCAGCTTGACGTAATACCCTACGACATGTGTCTTTGTGGATTGTATTATGAGAGATTAAATGCCTTAGGTTAAGAGGATCTATATCAGGATGTTGACTAGGAGACCTCTGCTCCTCCTTATATACTCTGCAGGGGTAGGGTTACAAGAAAAATATCATATTTAGTATTACAATATCTTCTTGTAGCCTTGCGGTACACGCCGACCAGTGCCGTGCGCAGCACGCCTTGATCTTGTGGGTTGGGCCACCTCTGATGGTGCGGCTCATGTCTTGTCTGTGGGTATCGGGGGTCATACCGCCACGGCTAGTCCCCGAGCACCTTGTATCCGCTGAGCAACACCGTCTTGAGTTCGTTCGAGCTATCCAACTTGCTGTTAATCACCAGGAGCAGGCTTCTGACCAGTTTAACTGGGAGCCGAGCTGTTGAAGCAAGCGTCCGAGCAGTTTGAACGAGCGTCCGAGCTGTTGAATTGGGTGTCCCAGCAGTTGAGACAGGCGTCCGACCAGTTTAACTGGGCGCCGAACTCGGACTCACTCGAAGTTGATGTTTGCCATAAGAATGTAAGGAACTCAAGTAAAAAATTTTGAAGCCTTCACCTTAGATGAAGTGTGCCCACTTGCCTTAGGCAAAAAAAAAAAGAGACTCTTAGAGCCAAGCATAGGTATGACTTAGTCATGCAGGAAAACATTGGATCCTAGAGATAAGGTGAAGTGTGCCCACTTAGTCTCCGAGCCTGATAGTAGGTGAAGTATTCACATAGTGCTAGGGTCCAAAACAGTAGACTTCAGGTGCCAAAACAGTCCCCAGCTTAGCTGAGAAAAAGAAGCGTAAAAATAGTATAGTCATCGCGAGATGATGTGTACACATGTAGTCCCCGAAACTGCTGGAAGATTGAAAAGAAATCTTGTAGCAGGATCAAAAAATTTTATAATGAAGCCTGCCAACATCATTTGCCATGTACTTATCAAGACACCGGACGTGCTGCCCAAGATCAGCACCCTGGTCCAAACAGCATGGAGTAACTTGATTACACATCGAAGAGACGTAGGAAATTCCGACCACCAAAGGAGCCCCAAGCTTAGCTGACGACTCATTGTACGAAGAATCCGAACACCGAGGAGTCCCAGCTTAGCTGGAGACGCTTGCATGAAGAACTCAAACGCCGAGGAGTCCCCAACTTAGCTGACGATGAAGCGACGAACAATCCGAATGACGAGGAGTCCCCAGCTTAGATGGCGACGCTTGCACGAAGAATCCAAACGTCGATGAGTCCCCAGCTTAGCTGTCGAGCCCTAGCGTAACTGACGATAAAGCGACGAACAATCTGAATGCCGAGAAGTCCCCAGCTTAGCTGGCGAGTCCCAGTGTGGCTAACAATGAAGCGACGAACAATCTGAACGGCGAAAAGTCCTCAGTTTAGCTGACGATGAAGCGACGAACAATCCGACCAGCTGGTTGGTGGAGAATGGAGCACCGAGCAGCTCAACTAACTGGTCGGCGGCGAAGTGAGCGTCGAGTATTAGTGAGCGCCGAATAGTCTGACTAACTGGTCGGCGATGAAGTCCATGAACCTAACGGTCCGAGTAGTTGATCGGCGGCGAAAGCGACGGCAAAGCTTGCCGGAGACGTCGACGTGTTTCGGCGAGGGACAAGAGAATGTCCAGTAGATTAGGAAAAAACTTATGTTGGAATGCTGTGTAAAGGTGCTTAGCAGCTTTTGATGAACGCTTAATGTTATTGTGAAGTTTGTGTTTATATTTAATATAAACCATCCAAACAGTTTGTGTGTAGCTGAGCCTACAGCCTTAGCTAGCCCATTAACTGTAACGTGGAGCGCGGAGCCCGTGTGCGTGTAGAAAAAACAAAGCGTCGCCAAAGAGCCGCTGCCGGCTACCCATAACGCAGAGGGCAAACGCATTGCACGTGTAGGGAGAAGCCGGAGACAGGGCCATCTCTGGAAACATCTGAGCGTCAACATGACTGTTCGGATATTTACCTTAGGCATAGTCGTATGTCATCTCTAAGATATTATACATGGAGAAAGATCGCTTAGCGAAAAAATGAGGGAAAACAACATGAAGAAACATCAAAGCAAAGAACTTTATTAAATATTCATATATGGAAAGGTACTTATCTTTAGACAGAACGTCTGGTCAGTGACGTATGACGTTATTTGGTCGGCGTCGACGAAATTATCCGGCTCTCGAGCTTTCTGGTATGTCATCATGGCAGCGGTCGCGGTTGTTACAACGCCATTCTTTGCGGCGATCATCATTACGACATAATAGGTGGTCGGAGCACGTTCGTCGGGCGGCTCGCTTAGCGGCTCATTCGTCGGCTTGGGCGGCTCGCTTAGCGGCTCGTTAGACTGGTCAGTTACGACGCCGTGTGCTGCTTGTACAGTTGTATTGACATGGGAAGCACATCCTTTTACGGCTCAGTCAAGGTTTCAGTCTGTACTATAGCAGTCTGTAGTATACATCTAAATCCCTGCAGCAATTATCCCTGCTGTGTTTGATCTCTCTGACTGCTGAATTGCCCGTACAGATGCCCATGAACAGTGCTGTTGTAACCTGTGGCAAGTGCTGAGGAGACGGGTTCCTTCTGCACGGCTGCCATGTTCTACAGCAACCAATGCATACCTTTGGAGTTCGGAGGCTCCGGTCCAATCAATTTCATGGCCGCCCCGCCTGTCAGCCGTACTGTTCCAGCAAAATAATAATATTTTTTCTTAAAATAAATTAGAATCATCATTAGTATCAACCGTTTTTTCAGCCAGCAGTTCCCTGCCCCAGGGTACGGCTCGCCGCTGATCTGGCGATCTCCCTACCGTAAGCCGAGAAGATGGCGAACCAAGCCACCGACCGCCTTGGCCTTTTGGAAGACGCCGAAGCCGTCGTCTGAACAGTGCACGCCGTGATGGCGAACTGGACGCAGTTGGCTCTTGGCTGCGGGCCGCGGGCTGCACCAGCACTGCGGCCGGCAAGGCTAGCTGGATTTGGAACTGCGTGAGTTCGTGGCAGGTTCACCACCAACACCACCATCAACGGCGGTGGGCTGTTGGGCTCCAGATCTGGAGTGGCCCAGATATAAGGTCACATGAACCGAATTGGTCCATTCCAAGGTTAGTCAGCCCATCAGACCTATGGATCGAGGACTCTAGCAGGTTGAAATAAGTATAGGGTTTATTAAAAGTTAGTATATTACTTTCCTAAAAAAAAGTTATATTACTGCCTCCTCGCACTAGAGAACGCGGAGCATCAGTGGCTCTTCTACGAACTAATTCTGGCCACATCTCTGGATGCATGGTAACGAACTAATAAAGATGTAATTAAACGATGGCGCCAATCAAGGGTTAGATATATGGGAAAACGGTGTTTTTGCCCCTGTCCAGAAATTCAATTGTGATTTTACTCTTATTTTTTTAATTTTGTGATTTTACCCTAGTTATTTTGAAACCAACGAGCCATTTGTCCCTGGTTTGGATGTCCGTTATTTAGAGATTGATTAAATGATTTAAAAAAAACAAAACACATAAAATCATATGCGAAATGACCGAAATGCCCTTCATCTTCATTCTTATTCGCTCGTTCTCTTCGCTGCTATCTGCTCGCGATTGACGCGAAAGCTCCGTGCGGACATAAGACCGGCGACCGCGCCTCGGCGGCGAAAACACCGTCATGCGCCAAGCCCCCTACCCCACCATGGCCATGGCGCTCCGGCAACTCAACGCCCGCCCATGCGACGGCGGCCCTCAGCGACCTCGCCCGCTGGTCATGGCGCTCCAAAGAACCCGCATCGGCGCGACGGTGGCCCTCGCGACCCCACAGCTCGCAAAATACCGATGGGGCAAATCCGCCTATATTGGGCAGGCGTCGGCGACATCGACGGGGAGGCACGACCGCGAGCTTGGCCATGGCAATGCAAGGCGCTGCGGTGGCAGGGCGCGCGGCGGCGTCGGCGCGGTGGGGCGGGCGCGGCAGCGCAGGTCTTGAGCTTCATGGCGCTGGCGCGCGAAAAGCGCATTGGCGAAGCGTCGGGGCATGGCCGACGGCGCGCGTGCTTTGCTGGTCTTGCATGCGCGCAGTAGCATGGCGTCGTCGCGGCATCGGCGTGAGCGCGCAATCCGGCGGCGTGGTGGGCGGGCGGTCGAGCGGCCGCATGCAAGGAGGGCGTCACGGTCTCGTGCGGGGCTAGACGTAGCTCCCTGCAGCGCCTGGCCGCTGCTCCCGGTGGCGCCTGGCAGCGGGTCACCGCGCCGCCTCCTCCCCTCCTTCCTCCTCCTCCCCCGCGCAGGCTCCCATGCCTGCACCGCGGCGGAGAGGAAGGTGGAGGCGTCATGCGTTCGGATGGCGCCGCCGACTTCGGCGGTCGTCTTTGGTGCCGCCCTACGACTTCGAGCCGCCGCCCTCCCGCGCCACAAGCAAGACGCTGACGGTGAGGCCCACCACAGGGCGACTCGCCGGCTCGGCACGCGTGGCTCGCGAGCTCGCTCCGGCGAAGCCGCGCCGCGCCTTCCTTCCCAGCGGGCATGCGCGCCACTCGACCGCCGCCGTTTTTCTTGATGCCATGGACCGCCGCCGTTGCCAACTTCCCGCTGCCAAGAACCGGCCAACCGAGTTCGCGACGTCGCCCTGGTGCTGTAGAGCCGCCCTGCTTGCGCTTTCGTGGACCGGAGCACGAGATCGAGAGCTGCCCGTGCGCTATCCACGCGCCTCCCCCGGCGGCGTTCGCGTCCTCTCGACACGGCGTCTGACAAAGCGACCCGGCCCGCCCTGCCACCCCGCCCGTCCCCGCACTTCCCCAGTGGCCACAGCTGACCCCTGCGCCCAGCTAGGCCCCCAAGATCATCTCCTCCGGTGGCCGCGCCATGGCCGGACGGTCGACCCCGCACCACGCGCAACCGAGCCTCGGCTAGATAGGGGCAAAATCGCAATTAGGCATAACAAATAGGGGCAAAATCGCATGGGCATTCATGTCCTTTTGTACAAAGTTTAACACCGTTAGGGGTGGAATGACGGAGCAAGGACAAACTGGTGCTTCGTTTTGAAATCATAGGGGTAAATTCACAAAGTTAAAAAAAATAGAGTCAAAATCATAATTTCGACACAAAACAAGGGTACAAACACAAGAGCCCCTAGATATATTTTGCGTCATGTTTTCGGCATTCATTCGAGTCTAGCTCAGCACACATGCACCCTCTGTTTTGGCTAATTGAGTTTTCCGTGGTTCCACTTGGCATTTATATTGCCCTGTTCGCCTAAACTTATCAACTCGACTTATCAGTCATGGTACAACGTTTTTCTCTAAAAAATCAGCAAACAGTACTTTTCAGTTTAGCTTTTTAGCATAACAATTTTTTAAAAAAAAAATCTAGAAAACCCCACCAGACAGCCACACGCATCAGACTCACGCGCAGGCCTCGCGCACATAAGTCACTCGTGTCGACCTAAGATATTCTATTTTCTCCTCATTCGATTTTAAAATAAGTATTTAAGACTCTAAACAAATTTAAATAAAAAATATTGTCAACTGCAAAGTTGTATAACTTTTTGAGATCTACAACTTTGGTTTTGATTGTTTCTCCATATGAGATCGTTTGAAAATGTTGAATTTCAAATTTGAAAAATTTAAATGTAATTTTCCTTAGATAGACGATTTTAAATTAAAAAGTTGTTAACTACAAAGTTGTATAACTCTTCGAGATCTACAAGTTTGGTCTTGATCGTTTCTCCATCCAAGATCATTTGAAAAACTTGAATATTACTGTGCAACTCCTATTTTTTTTTTGAGGCGACTCTTTCTAGCCGTCTCTAAAAATTAATTTATAGAAGCAGCTAGAAATAGAGCTTTAAGACAAATAAGAATTAATTTTATTCCATTATATACACAACAACACAAAGACCAGAGGCATCGAAATTAAACATTGACGAGTTGAATCGGACAAAGACACACAAGATAGGTACTTAAAACACAAGACACAAAGTAGACTAAATCTAGCTTCGCGCCCTCGCCCGGCTACCGAGGTTCCACCAGCTCCGTGGCCGCCTCTACACGCTATTGTATCGTATACCCCTGTGTGGCCTAGTACTTGGCTCGAGACCTAAATGGTCCAATCTTGTTTTGGCACTTCGGCTCATGTATCAACACGTGGACTGAGGGCTCTTATTTTTTTCCCTGCACCTTGACTTGGTCCACCGCTCTCTTTACCAATATAAGGGCTCCCCAATGGTCTCCGCAAACGGGGAAATTCGTTATTATATATTAGAAAAACAGGGGAAACAGAAGACGACCTGGAAGTCTTCTCACTTTGTTTGTGTCCGCAGTGGCAAACGCGGCAACCATTTTCCATTGCAAGCTGGCACAGCCACTAGTGAGCCACACACAATGAGGACTTGTTTGCCCTGCGATCTCCTAGACAAGATGCCGGTCATCGGAATGGTGATCCTTGTAATCACACTGCACTACCAGCTTCCTTGAAGCTGCAATACAGGGCAAGACGCCGTGACCCGCCCGAGGGGGTGTAGCTGGCATGAACTCTCCTGCACGCAGATTTGTAATCGACTGATTTTTTTTTTCTTGATGTATAAATGGTACTTAAGCCGTGTTTATAAAATCTGTAACTGATCCATTCAACCAAACTTCTCAACTTATAGCTTATTATGCTCCAATCACCTAATTTATAAAAAAGCCATAAGCTGGTCAGCTCTATTGTAGCTTATAAAAAGTTTAGCTGGTATAAATTGGATCTTAATTACTCTATTGGTTTAGTTGGTTATGTTTTTTTTTGGGTGAAACCTGTCTATTTAGGTTTGAGTCTCTGACTCACTGCATGCGCTTGTATATATTTATGGCTAATTATTCTTTCAAATGTACTGCACTGTTCGTCAACCACAAGATACACCACCTCAATATCCTAGGAGTGTGAGCTAGAGCGCGTGTGTGCGTTTATATTATTAGTCAGTGTGCACTCATGTACTTGAGTGCCAAGGCCGTTAACAAAGTTGAGATTTTTTGTTTCTTCAAAATATAGACAAAACTTCTCGGGTTTTGTCCCCCCTACCTGACAGCATGTTGCCGTAACAAACTCTGAACTTCAATCCACTGATTGAGAATTAACTAGCAGGGCCAGCAGCACAAGGAAGAATATCTTCGACAATTAGGATGACCTCTAACATGAGCCTTAACTGCTCCTTCTAAAAAGAAAACAGTCTGAGGAGAGCTTAGCAGCTCATGACCAAGTGGAGGACTTCATAACAGCGTGTTGAGCACGAGTCAACGTAACGCAGGTCGCACGTCTGACATGCCACGGCCTCACGGCAACCCTTACCATCGCCATTACTGCGCGGAAGCTGCCTCAGGGTGTGGGTGACTACTGGTAGCCGGGCCGGCTGGACGACGGTGACCACCAGCCAATGTATGCCTCGCTTGATAGCTCGCTCGGCCTTATAAATAAAAGCCGTGCCCAAATGGCAATGGCACAGCAGTAAACCATGAGGAAGGTTTTCGCGCCGCTGCTGGCCGTCGCCGCCAGCACTGCACTGCTCGCTGCAGCCGGCGTCGTCGTCAGCGCACAGCAGGGCGTGGGGGCCATCATCACGGCGTCCATGTTCCAGAGCATGCTGAGCCACCGCGGCGACAGCGGCTGCCAGGGCGCGTTCTACACCTACGACGCGTTTATCGAGTCCGCCAGCAAGTTCGCCGGCTTCGGCACCACCGGCGACGACCAGACGCGCAGGCGGGAGCTCGCCGCCTTCTTCGGCCAGACGTCCCACGAAACCACCGGTATGCCGTATGCCTTGTGGACAAGCGCTTTTTCGCTGGCTGTAGACTCTAGAGATGGAGACTCTTCGGCCGTCTAAAAGCTCGGCTCGCTATGCATGCCAAATTGACATGCATGCAGGTGGATGGGCGACTGCTCCGGGTGGACCGTTTGCCTGGGGATACTGCCGGGTGAAGGAACAGAACCCGACTGACCCACCCTACTATGGACGAGGACCCATACAGCTAACTCAGTAAGATCAGCACAAACACTTTATTATGTAGTTTCAGCATGCATGTGTATGTTAACAAACCTGTTGATCCTGCTGGCACGGGTTCGCAGTGAGTACAACTACAGGCTCGCTGGGCAAGCGCTGAACCTGAACCTGGTGGGCAACCCGGACCTGGTGTCGAGCGACCCCGTGGTGGCCTTCAAGACGGCCATCTGGTTCTGGATGACGCCGCAGTCGCCGAAGCCGTCGTGCCACGCCGTCATGACCGGCGGCTGGACGCCCTCCGCCGACGACCGCGCCGCGGGGAGGCTCCCCGGGTATGGCGTGACCACCAACATCATCAACGGCGGGGAGGAGTGCGGCAAGGGCCAGTCCACCGACAAAGCCAAGGACCGGGTAGGGTACTACAAGAGGTACTGCGATATGCTCGGAGTGGGGTACGGGGACAACATGGCCTGCAAGGACCAGAAGCCTTACGGAGGCTGACAACAATGGAGTGAAGAGTGATGATGATCACACTAGCTGTCAGCTGATCTATGCATGGTTGCTGCAAGCCTTCACGTGTGTTTGCCTCTCTAGCTATAACTAGTAGTAAGAATAAATCAAGCTGGCAAACAGGGGCAACCTAGCTTCGGCGTGTGATATACTGTCACATCTCTCAATCTCTGGATGCATGCATGTTAACGAACTAATAAAGATGTAATTGACGATGGCGCCAATCGATGGTAAGATGTATTTTGCGTCATGTCTCCGGCATTCATTCAGTCTACTTCAGCACACATGCGCCATCGATTTTGGCTTATTAAAGTATTCCATGGTTCCACTTTGGCGTTTACTCCCTCTGTCCTCAAATAAATTAATTTCCGTGCAAGTCAATTTTTTTAAGTTTGACTAACTTTATAGAAAAAAGTGACAACATCTATAATATAAAATTAGCACATTATAAAAATATATTCTATGGTAAATCTATTGATAGTAGTTTGATATCATAAATCTTGATATCGTTTTCTATAAATTCGATCAAAGTTTAAAAAGTTTGACTTAAGACAACTCTAGGAATCTATTTATTCAGGGACAGAGAGAGAGTATGTTAAGAAAATTTTGACAATAGGAAATTTCAACCGCTCACGACGAGCGATCCGACGGTTAGAAAGGCAGATGTATTGAGAGGAGTCTACGAGGGAGGTATCGGGAGGCATTTTATGCATACAAATGGGTGGGCCCATATGCATAAAACGTCTCCAAAATTGAGGGGACCATGATCTGGAATTTAGGAGTGGTAATTCCTTTTTCCACCTAAGATATTTTTTTTTCTCATTTTATCTCCATCCGATTTTGAAATGAGTATTTGGGACTCTAAACGAATTCATATAAAAATATTATCAATTACAAAGTTATATAAGTTTTTTAGATCCACAACTTTGTTTCTCCGTCCGAGGCCATTTAAAAATTTTAATTTCAAATATGAGAATTTCAATGCAATTTCTCTTGAATAGATGATTTCAAATAAAAGGTTATCAACTATAAAGTTATATAACTCTTGGAGATCTACAACTTTGGTTTTGGTCGTTTCTCCATCTTAGGTCACTTGAAAAACTCAAATATTACTATATAACTCCTATTTTTAGAGACGACTTTATTTCTAGCTTCCTCTAAAAATTGATTTTTAGAGACGACGAGGCAAATAGAGCTTTTAAGACAAACAAGAACTAACTTTATTTCGTTATATGCACAGCAGCACAAAGACTAGAGGCAGCGAGATTAAACATTGATGAGTTGAACATACTAATTCCAGCCTCCAACCTTATGCCCTCGCCGGCCGCTGAGCTCCTATGCCGTGGCAAGCTTTGCGGCCACCTCCACCAGCTCCACGTCTGCCTCCATCGCGGACGCGACAACGTCGTATTCGCCCACCCTTTCAACAGCGTCTTTTGCGGAACCGCCTCATCCATCTACACAGTAGCGTCCGCTTCGCCTGTCGTCTCAGTAGCGACTTTTACATGGCGTCGCCTCCAACGTAACAGGACGGCGACACCCTTGAGCGTGGTCGTCCTCCTCCCGCGTGGAGAGTTAGGTTCAGGGTATGGGCAAATCCAGCGTGGGGGCTCAAGCCCCCCTACCGTAAAAGCGTACTAGAAGGCACAACTAACTCCACAAGCTCCCCCTGGTTCCGATGAAAGTGTACGGAGCGGTGTTGTCGTGGAATTCCGATGAAACTGTACGAAGCGGTGTTTGTCTTGGAACGGAGGAGATGCACAATAGCATTGGAGGAGGCTAGCGCCAAAAACGAGATCGTGCCCATCAACTTTACCAACACATAGGGCCCTGTTTGGAATACCGGAATCTTTTTTGTTTATATGTTTTTTATGTGAAATTGAATTGATTTGGACCGGAGCACAAGAGCCCCAAGCTCCTCACCCAAGAAAACATATTTAACAATTTTCTTGCGTGACTGATGATGATGTCGGCTAGACGATCGGTAGAGTTTGGCTCGCAGTACAAAATAGGTAAGGAGGATATGATTTTTTTTTTTAAAAATAGATGACATGGGCTCCATCAAACTGGATGTATCAACCTGCACCTACCCATCGTGTATCGTTGAATAATTTCAAGATCTTTTTTTTAAATATCCAAATTAAAGGATAATATATGAGGTGGATAGGAATAAATATGACAAACATATTTATCAATTCGCAGTGTAGATAAAGAATAAAATAGATATACATTAACTACAAGTACAAATCTTGGTGTCAGTTTTAGATCAACGTGTTCGCATAAAATAGATATACATTACGGCGGAGAAACCTGATGGATAGCGCGGCGATACACAAGACAACGTCTCTTGATATCATAACAGAAATACTATACAACATATGTGTGTTTTAGCATAAAAAACACATAGATTTTAGTTCATCGGATCGTTGTCTCGGTTTATCCATGTCCGTCAGATCTGCAGGGGCCACCGGCCGAGGACCTGCCTGCCTGAGGCTAAAGATTTCCAAACGCGTTTAAAGACGGCACTACATGGCCTAGCCCGCTTTGGCACGCACGGCGAGCACGGTTAATGAGGCGTGCCGTCTGCGTGCCGTGCATGCATGCTGCCGTCTTCGAGTTCGTGCCCGTGCACTAAACTTCATCGATCAGTGCACAGGCGTGCCGCGTTTCGGACGGCAGCGGCAACCAGCGTGCCCGTCTTTGCCCACGACACTCTGAAATTACAAAAACATTTATTCAAATCATAAGTTCACAGAGATAACTTCTAACTCATCAAAAACATCAGACAATGCCAGCAAAAAACAGCAAAGAGCAAAGAACAGTAAAGAAAACAGGCAAGTTTTGAAACTAAAACTAATTAAAGTAGGAGATGTGCAATGGCTGCCTCATTAAAAACCTGTTTAGGTAAACCCCACCCTTGTGAGAAACACTAAACAGGAAAAGAGTACAACCAGCTCCTAAGATTGTTCATAAGTTCATTACATCAAGCCTCCAGCATGTCCAAGTCTTAATAGCTATTATAGAACCATTATATAAATGGGAAACTTAATCAACATCAAGATAAAGTGCTTCAAAGGCCTCTTCCAGCTCCTTATCCTCCACCATGTGCTGCAGTCTTGATTTAGCATTCTCCCAGTCCTTGATGCAGGTTAGTGTCTCCACAGTCTCAGGGTTCAGCCTCCGGCGACGCTCCTCGATGATCCTGCCAGTAGTGCTAAAGGTAGATTCTGAAGAAATGGTTGACACAGGCACAGTAAAAATATCTTTTGCAAGAATAGAAAGCACAGGATAAGTAAGCTTGTGCTCATGCCACCATTGTATGAGGTCAAAATCATCATCTAACTGGCTGACTATGTCAGAGTCCAGGTAGGATGCAAGCTCACTAGAGTTAGAAGCAGAAGCTGCCTATAGCAAAGAAGTGGCAGAAACACCCCTGGACTGATCAAGATTAGGAGGGAGGGAAGAACAGCCAGCTCCAATGTCAAGCTCATCATCATCATAAATGTCAGCCCAAGCTGTTCTTTTTTTACTAGAAAGGGATGCTAGAACAGCCCTTTTGAGCCTAACAGAGCCATACATTGCATCATACCTGTTGTACATTTTAAAAAGAAGAGCTCTGGTGTCCAGCAACTTTTTAGTGTAATCAACATTAAAAAGAGAATTCAACTTTCTAAGCATTTTGGTAAAGCCCTTAATCTTAGCTCTTGGATCTAGTATGAATGCAATGGAATGAAGATCAGGTATGTTCTTCCAGTACTTATTATATTTGTCAATCATAGACTGCACAACAGATCTCAGATGTTCATCATGTTGATATTTATGCAGGTGAACAGCAATCTTAACAATACGATGAATCATAAGTGGAGAAGTAGGATAGTACACACCAGATAAAGCAACGGTAAAATCATAAAACATTTCAAGAAATTGCAACATCTTAGTTGTCATATCCCAGTGATCATCAGTCAATAGGAAAGGACTACCTGTAGGTCTAGGGTAATTAGCCTCAATAAAAGTACTGAAAGTACTCCTGTGAGGTAACAATGTTTTCAGCATAAGGTAGGTGGAGTTCCACCTAACATCCATGTCCAGTGAGAACTTCCTAGGTCTAACACTGCTAGCAATGCAATAACTCTTGTATGTAGCAATTCTTTGATTAGAGGAGTTCAAAAAAGAGATTGCAGTTCTAAAGTTGTCAATGAGAAGATTAACAGCAGCCAATGCTTCCTTAACAATCAGGTTAATAATATGACAAGCACATCGTTGATGCAAAAACAGATCAGCACCTAAATACTCTTTAAGTATAGGTTTCAGTTTATCCATTGCATTTTTATTGACAGATGCATTATCCAAAGTCACAGAAAAAACCTTGTTAAGTATACCATACTCAGCAAGGACAGTTTTATCATGCTCAGCAATTTTTTCAGCATTACGGGAGACATCAATCAACCTTAAACCAAGCACCATTTTCTCTAATTGCCAATCAGCATTAATGAAATGAGCCACAACAGACAGATAATCTTCTTTGGCCTTTCCAGACCAAATATCAGAGGTAATAGCAACAGATGAAACAACATTGTCTTGCAAACAAGTCATTATTTTTTCACGTTTACCATTGAAGTGCTTAAACATATCTCTAGCAGTAGTTTGCTTAGAGATAGGTGCAAAGGCAGGGTTATGAGCAGTTTTAATGTAATATTTAAAGGCATCAGTTTCACCAATCAGTAAAGGTAAATCTAGCCTAGCAAGCATACGAACAAGCTCAACACGAGCTACATCAGCATTGTACTCCCAGCGACGAACAGAACCATCAGGATTAAAACCAATTTGAGTTTGAGACATGCGACATTTCTCACGACGCTTAACACAAACCTTAAGATGTCGAGTAAGATGTCCAGTGCCATTAGCAGAATAAGCAGAGTATTGTTTCTTGTAATGTTTGCAAGTGGCAGCATACCTGACGGGTCTCGCCTTACCTGGCACCTTCTTGAAGTGCTTCTCAAAATCATCCTAGACAGCAGAGGTAGAAGGCCGATTGGAGCCTGCCACGTCACTGTCGCCACCTCGGCATCGGGATCGGCCCCTTCCCCGTGGACCGGGACCGCATCTTGGTCACAGGGAAGGGGATCAGCAGCAGACCGCCCAAATAGCTCGGCGCAGTCCTCGCGAACATCGTCCTCCTCCTCATCCCCGGCTAACCCGCACATCCGTAGCTCGTCGTTCTGGGAGTGATCAAACTCCCCTTCATCGGTGTCGCCTACGCCTCGGGCCATCTTTGCCGTCTCTGGTTCCTCGACGGCTACATCAATCAACAACAGAAAAAGACGGTTAGGGTAGGGGATTAGGGTTAGGGTAGGGGGTTAGGGTAGGGGATTAGGGTTAGGGTAGGGGGGCTTACCTCTTGAGTTGGAGCGCCGGAAACGACGATGAGATGGACCGGATGCACACCCCTAGTACCTCAACGGAGACCGGAGCCTCGGAGGTGGCGGCGACCGACGATGAGAACGACGGACAGAAGACGGAGATGCGTCGAGGATGCTAAGAACGAGTCCCAATCGACTTTCAGGGATGAAGAACAAGGGAACAGATGGAGATTGAAGGCGGAAACCACCAGATCTGAGAGAGAAGAGGGAGATTGAGGGCAGAGAGGGAAAGCAGGGAGATTGAGGACGGAACCCACCGGATCTGACCCCTTACCCACCAGAGAACGCCATGGACACGACAGAGCAGGGGAACGAGGCGAGCATCAGGCGAACGAGCGAGAGCGAGGAGCGAGACGATAGCGGGCGAGAGCGACGAGCGAGACGAGAGCGGCGCGAGGAGAGCGAGAGAGCAAGTAAATGAGCTAGGGTTTGATGGTGCGGGATCAAGGCGGCCAGGCGGAGATTGAGGACGGAACCCACCGGATCTGACCCCTTACCCACCGGAGAACGCCATGGACACGGCGGAGCAGGGGAACGAGGCGAGGATCAGGCGAACGGGCGAGAGCGAGGAGCGAGACGACAGCGGGCGAGAGCGACGAGCGAGACGAGAGAGGCGCGAGGGAGACGAGAGGAGGCAAAATGAGCTAGGGTTTAGATGGTGCGGGACTAGGGGGGCAGCCGCGGCGGGTGGCTTATGTACCGCAGGCCCCCAGCCCCGCCGGCGCCCCTCCGTGTCTGAGCCGTGCCCGGGCCGGCACTATGGGTCGACTCCTCGGCCCAGGCACGGACATGGTACCGGCCGGGCCAGGCACGGGCACGGCTGTGGCGGGCTAGGGCCGTGCTTTTTCGCACCGGGCTCGTGCCAGCCCGTTTCAACCGGCCCGTTTGGAAATCTTTACCTGAGGCCACCGGCCGCGCGCGGCGCCAGACGGCCGGCCGGGCAGGCGAGGGGATTACAGCATGCCAAAGCAGGATCTGCAGGGGCTGCGCGAGAATTGATTGCCCCAACGCTGCTACTACTAACGGCGCGTTTAGATGCAAAAAATTTTAGGTTTTGGCTACTGTAGCACTTTTCGTTTGTATTTAGCAATTAGTGTCTAATTATGGACTAATTATGTTCGAAAGTTTTGTCTCGCGATTTCTCACCCAATTGTGCAATTAGTTTTTTTTCGTCTACATTCAGTACTCTATACATATGCCGCAAGATTCGATGTGATGGGTACTACGCAAATTTTTTTGAAAACTTTTTTTTTTTTGAGTAAATTTTTTTTTGAAAACTAAACAGGCCCTAATACACAAATCTAATCCGCCCCGTCGTCCTTGCCATTGCCTGGCCGCCTGGGCTCTGGGCTGCAAGCTGCATCTGCATGCATGTACGCCTACGAGAGCTCGTAGCCCTGCGTCGATGCCACGGCGTGCCCTGCGGCCCATCAGCTATAGCACACACCACCTAGGCAACAACCCCTCAGTATTTTGTCTTTCCATAGAAAAAAATTATTTTCTGTAATATGTAATTTGTAATATATAGATCTGTAATTTTATGATTGTCTGAAGGTAGAAGAAGGTTAAAGATAGAAGAAGGATGGAGGCTGTTGGATCTTAATCTTATAGTAAAAAAATTTATGTGTTGAAATTATATAAAACACATGGTTGTACAGTAGACAGACTCTATCTGAAACTCCACACGTCTGGAAGAAACCCTGTCACGATGTGCGACAGCTATGGTAGCCAGCCTGACGTCTCTAGGGCTTCACCACGGAACATCCAGCCTGTTCGCTTGCTCGTAAACGATCGTAAATTTTCAGCCGGGAACAGTGACGCTTCGGACAAGCAAGTTAGCTTCCTTTTCTTCTTAGCAACTTTGTCTGAACGACGATTCTGGCGCCTGCACGTCCGGCGCGCAAGTACATCCGGACGCCGGTCCCTTCCCAAAGCTCGCCCGCCTCCCCGTGCAGAATAAAACGGAACCCCGCCCACCCCCACGTATAGAACGGGACCCGCTCGGCCGCCCCTGTCCTCCGTTCCCCACCGCGCCCTGGCCCTCGTTCCCCAATGCACCCCGTCCCCCACCGTGCCCCTGTCATAAAAGAGCATGAACACTTCAAGTGCAACATTGTAAACATATGGAAAAAATATGCAGTGCAACATCGAAAAATATGTAGTGCAACATTGAAAAACATGCACTGCAGTATCGAAAAATATGTACTGCAACAACAAAAATATATGTACTGCAACATCGAGAAACATGTACGGTAACATCGAGAAACATGTAGTGCAACATCGAAAAATAGGTACTGCAACATCGAAAAATATGTGCTGCAACATTGAAAAATTATGTATTGCAACATCTCAAACGGTAGTACTGCAACATTGCAAAAACATCTGTTGCAACGACCCAAAATCTCATTGCAACATTTGAAAATCTTCTGTTGCAACATCCAAAAAAACCCATTGCAACACGGGAGAAATAGGAAAAAAGCGTACAAAACAGCCACTAGCCCATCACCTTCGAGCTTGCCGGAGGGAGGAGAGAATAGGACCCCAGAGCTCACCGGAACCCTAGCCACCGCCGCATCCCTCAGATCTAGAGGAGGAGGAGGAGAAGAGCTCAGATCCAGAGAATGACCGACTTACCTTGTCGGAGCTGTCGCGGTCGTCCTCGTCTCCGGTGGGGGTCGCATGGAGGTCGCAGAGAGAGGGAGGGAGGGACGGCAGCGACCTGCCGCACAGGCGCGGCGTCCATCCTGGGGGCGGCCCGGAGAACGGCGTGCGGCGCGTCAGCGAGTGGGTACGGAGGAGGGAGGGGGGAGTGGGCGAGCAGAGCGAGATAGTGGGCACGGGGGGAGGTGTCACGGGATGGGATAAGCAGTCGGTGAACGTGCTCGGCAGAGTCATTCCGTATGCAGGTTCGTCACAATCAATATCGTTGTCCAAATGTCGTGAATAGATGGCCGGAGGTAGCAAATCGTCGTGGTAGTGCTGGTAGAGCCGCGACTATTCTCATGTACCTAATTCAAAAAAAGTCCAAACTACCCTCCACACCTCAAGATTGGTCTAGCTAGAGCATGGTCGACAAACTAACCACAATCCGTGTGGAGTTTTTGGGCCATCCATTTTTACCTGAAGAAGTGTACACAATGCGGATCGGAGCTACTACATCATGGCATGCACGTACAGCGTATGAATCCAACTTTTGCTACTGGATGCTAGTAGCTTGTACATGTTGGAAGCTGGAACAAACTACAGGGGACAATTGAATAGGCAATATGTAATAATCTAAAATGTAATGCAAAGTGGTGATGGGGAGATGCTAAAGAAGCAGCAAAGTTCGAGATGCAAATACGTAGGGTCATTGCCATAATGTCTTTAGGCTACATGATTTATCATGGGAATATTTTCACTATAATGATGAAATACTAAGGAAATCGATCGGCATATGAAAATTAGAGTACAATATTAACAAAAATATCTTCCAGGAATATGTAATCATTGATCATTCGAAATATAAAATTTTAAACCAATTACTGCATACATACAGGATATCATATTTGCATCTCCAGCTGTTTAAAATTTTAAGCAAGCAACGAAGAAGCGAGTGCAAAAAAGGAGTGCTTGGACAGCAATGACATACAGGGTTTGTTGTGGCAAAATTAAAGCGCAAAGACATTCCAGTTTGAATGTATATTTATCTAATTGAAAAAAGTAGCTTTTTTTACTACCTTGAATAATGCACTTTGTCCTTTTGACCCTCTAGCAGACAAAAGTGGGCCTAATTACTTCCAAAGGTCGAGTTTTGAATTCAAATTTTATGGGTGCAGCAGAGTAGATAGTCCTGTATGATTTGTCAGCTTGGAAATACATGATTTGGAGGGAGGATAGATGAAAGAGCTAAGCCAAAGATAGAGATGGATTGGGCCACTCAAGCTGTCCTCACGCGCCTGCATACTAGCGTGCATTGGGCAGCAACACGAAATTTCCCATGCTGGTAATAAAAAGCTAGACGTACGTTTTGAACACAATGTGCTGTAAAGAAAAGCGGCTATCTAGCACAGATATGCATGTATGTATGATTGAAGTGAATCGCAATTTACCGTCACTTGGCCGTGAAAGTTCCATGCCATGGCATGGCCAAAAACCAGATTGACATCTGAGTGGTCAGTTGGTCACTGATGAATTGATCGATCAATATATTTTGATACACTTATTTGGAGATATAAATATTATTAATATTTTCAATAAATATAATCAAACTTAAGAAAGATTGACTTAAACGAAAATCTAAACTGACACTTGAAAAGAGACGGAGGAAGCACATCCGCCTTCAGCAAAAATCTGGTCAAGATGATGATGAGGCGACTTTTGGTACATCGAATGAGCCATTCATCCTCCTCGTCTAGGGTGTGCACGGAACGGGAGGCCAGCTCAACAAGCTGGATGTGGATGGTACTTGCCCAGTCTCTCTCCTCTGCCTGCCTTTCGGCGTGTTTGGTATACAGTGTTTCTCATCAGCAGTACAAATCAGCACAAACGGCTTATAGACCAGCCGAACACACGCCACTCCCGCATCTTGCACAAGTGAAAGTGTGAAACTACTTGATCATTGGTGTACAGTTGTAGCCTAACTGAAGCTGTTATTTTTTGTTCAGAAAATCAAATATAATTAAGGAACCTTATTCTACTGGACATTTGATAATTCATAATTGTAGATACTATGATGTTTTAGCTGATCCATAATCTTAATTGTTGTGGAAGAGGCATTTCATTCAGCTGCTCGTACATTTGAAGGGATCAGCTGCTCGTACATTTGAAGGGAGCATGTTGTGATTAAACAGCTTTTTTCTTAATCACTTGATCCTTTGTCATGGTTAAGACTCCATTGCTATTGCCCATTGATTGATTCTTTGTTTTTAGAATGTCTTACAATAGCCAGATGCTAATAGAAACTTCTGACACTTTACTCCTCTCATCTTGTATAGAGGAAACGCACTGAATATTTGAACTATCATTATAGGGTGCATTATTAGCTCTCTAAAATGGAGAATAAGTATTCGAGATTTGCCAAACAAACCAAATTATAGCAAGATCAGTTTTCAAGTGACAACAGTCTCGCTGGTGCATAAATCTCAATGCCATTCCTGAATCAAAGCGTTTCAAAAAGAGGGAAAAAATACCCCCAGTGCCATTCCTGAATAAGTATCCTTAGCTACATGCCTACCCATCTGTTTCCAGCACATGTGAATTTTAGAATTTGGCACATAAAACAACCACTAAGACTAGCCTAAGGTAAGTATTTTGGAATGGAGAGAGTACATCAGTTACAAATCATCGACAATTTACATTCAACTGCTATGATCGACATTCAAATATTCTATTTCTGTACCACCATTGCAAGATCAGGACACTATCATCAAGTACTCCCAAGTCCCAACATCAAACAAAATGAGGTTTGCAAGAGTCAAGTAATTGTGACAGTGATCCAATAGCAGAGAAATTTGGACCCGATAAAACTTGCTATTTTCCATCACTATCACATTTCAACAAAAGTGAGGTTTGCTAGAAGTTTGAATAGATGCAGATTGCAAACTGGCATAACTGCTAGCAGCTGGGCACACTGTCAGACAAAACAATAGTAGCAGCACTGCAATTCATTCCTAGCAAGATCTATACAGCAGCAGGGATTAGGGCCTATACTTGCACATATTCAGGGAATAACTCAAAGAATCACAAGCATCATTTCGGAGCTCTTTCCAGTTTTAAGATTAACCAAAAATTTCCATGTCATATACATAGTAATGTCAAAAGGAAAGAAGAAAACAATTCAACTTCCAAAATACTCATTTTGGACAACAGGTTCAGCTAGAAAGCCCTAAAACATAAGTGTTCAAAGCAAAGCATAGCTATTGAGGACGCCATCAGATTTTTGACATTCATACTTCAGAAAAATACTGAATTTAAGCCGCAGAAGACAAGTTTCAGAGTGGACTATGCCTACTCCCAGCCTTGGGCAGTCGGCTGAGGTGCTTGGTCCCAACCAGTAGGAGCAATCACTGGAGGTACGGTACCGTCCACAGGTACAGGGGCCCCAGCTTGATCCCAGCCATCACCTGTAGGAACCGGAGCTGCAACAGAAAATGGGAATTGTCATGTTAGGAGAACAGTAACTCGGTACAAAGTAAAACTATCAGGGCATGTGAACACAACATGCATGGATGAAGAAGTCTAATACCAAAGATGAGGAAATTCTAAAAAAAAAAGCAGGTAACAGTATATACCTGGAGCAGCACCCCAATCAGCACCAGTAGGAGCAACAGGCGGCACAGCCACATCAGAGGTCCACTGGTCACCACCCCACTGATCAGCTCCTTGATAATCAGTGATTGCGGCAAACTCAGGGGCCACGGCAGCTTCCTCCTCCTGCTCCTTTGCTTCCTCTGGGTCTCTGTAGAAGAACAGATCAACCTGCAAACAACATTATCATATAAGAATGCAAAGGTTACTAAAAAATCTGGACCCATTACATCTCCAATGTCATTTTGAACAGCATCATAAGCTAGCATACCATGACTTCCCACTTGTGCCCAGGGAGGATAGTGCCCCTCATCTGCAGAACCATCCTGGCCAAAAGCCAGAACAGGCATCCAATGCTGTTCCTCCCCTTGTTGTTCGCTGGGATGCCGATATCGACATACCGCATGGGAGAGTCAGTGTCACAGAAGGCAATGGTCGGGATATTCCCCAGAGCAGACTCCTTGATTGGCTGCAAACAATTACCAGCATAACAATTAGTTCACCATCACATTGCAGGGTCCACTCATTAAATATTTCAGAACTTTGAAACTGAAATTCTTTTCACCTGATGGTCAGTCCTTGGGTCAGTAAGGATAAGCAGGCGAGGCTCACTGAAGGAGGTCTGGAGCTGATTAGTGAAGGTACCAGGGGTGTGCCTCCCAGCGATGGCATGGGCGCCAGTGTACTGAGCGAACTTGAGGACAGCACGCTGGCCATAGGGGCGGGCGGACTGGACGATTATGTCCTGAGGGTTCTCGATGGCAACGATAACCCTCGCTGCAAGCTGGAGTTTCTCCCATGTCTTGCCAAGGTTGATGATGTAGATGCCTGATAAAAACACTAGCCGGAATGCATCACACCCAACAATTCATCTTGAAGATGAAGCGCTACTAAGCTGCTACAGCGCTCCACAGATCACAGCTAATTACTAGATCCCCATAAAAGCCTCATGCCGCCATAGCACTAGCCTTCCGCAAGTTGAATTGACTACGAACGTCTATCTCTGATTATTACTGCAAAAAAAATCTAAAGCTCATGGTACACTACAAATACGACGACAAAAGTTCACAGCCCAACTCCGCTGGATATTCACGCCGGAACTGTAGCACTGGAGCACCAGAGATTTCTTTGCTGTCTACGTCTACATGGATTGGCATGCGGAGGAAAAAAGGCACGGATGCGGGAGTGAAGGCACATACCGTCGGTGCGGCGCTTAAAGACATAGCGCTCCATCTGGAAATCGCAGTTCTTGGTGCCGAGGTGGACGTCGGCGGCGAGCATCATCTGTATGTCCTGCTCCTTCTGGGACAGCGCACGCACCGCGCCTCCGCCCGCTGCCGCCGCCATGGTTGACGGGGATGCGAGTGATTGGGGCTGGCAGAGCGAAGGGAAGGGGAAGAAAGGGATCGCCGGATCGGGGCAGTCGGGCTCGGTTTCTGGGAGTGGCGGCGCTCAGGGGGATCTCTTATCTGCGACGCGTCAAAAACCCTAGGAAAGCTTCTGCAAAGACGTGTTGGGCCGATGCAAAATATGGGCTTCCCATCTACTCCGTACTATATATTTTGGTCCATCAGTGATGCACAGGCAGCCTGTGCCACCAATTCGTGATTTACCCATTTAAACTTGACGATGCGAAGGTTACAAGTGCCAAAGTAATAACACCTTATTAGGTCTTCTTTTTTTTCGAATAAATAACACCTTAGGTCTCGTTCGCTGGTCTGAAATTTGGCTGAAACTGGCTGATTGTTGTGAGAGAAAAACACTGTTCGGCTGGTTGATGAACAGTAAATTGTGAGGGGGAGCAGGCGGCTGGTCTGGAACTTCCAGACCAGCGAACGCGCCCTAAGTTTTCTACGATTTAATGGCATTGTGCTTTCTGTGATAGGTGACGTTACCGTTTGTAGCGAGGCACCTGTGGTGCCCCTGACTTGTTTTTTTTTTTTGGGGCTCCCTCGTGGACGACCGAAACTCCTTATTGGTGTTGATGCCTCTAACGCCTTTTTTGTCAGGGTTAGCCGTTACCGCCTAGAGGTTCGTGGAAATTGCACATGTTTTTTGTGGAGGCTCTCTCGTAGACCACCGATACTTCTTATTGGTGTTGTTGTCCCGAACGCCTTTTTTTGCCGAGGCTCCCCGTTACCGCCTAGAGGTTCGTGGAAATTGGATCTCCAACCATAATTTTCATATGTGAGAATAGTGGGAGATATGCAAGGGAGTTTCTGTTTTGGAGGTTGTGGCTCTCGGTTATGGTGTTGGGATGGCTGGCCATGGTGCGACGGACACTGAGGAGATAATGGGAGATAATCAATGAGAATAGTGGGATGTCAGGCAACGAAAATTCAGTTTTGAAGGTTTTAGGAACCAAGGTCTCGAGATGGTCAGGTCACAACAAGCTATGGCAGTTCGACGTATATGTTTTTTCGGAACCAATAAAATGAAGTGTTGGTGGAGCGTGTTTTTTCATACACAATAATTTAGGCCTTGTTTGAATGTCCATGTATCCACTTTAATCCATATGTCCATGGATTGTGGGGTATATATGGACATCAAACAAGACCTTTTTAAAAAGGTTGCAAAACCAGATTTTTGGAGTCTCTAGTTTGGTTTTGAGGCTAATGAGTTGAGAAGAGCAGTGTGCTCATTTGGTTTGGGTAGGATGTTGGAGTGAATCGGTTTTGGTCCCATAATAATGGGCTCAAAGGCCTCAAACTGTGTTGCAACAAGTGGCATGGTGCTGGTGCGAGCCAAATCTAGTAGTCGACTCCCTCTGACCATGATACAATTGGCCGTCGCATTGATTCCATTCCCAAATTTGTGTGTTATCTATTTAGAGTTATTTAGGGCTTATTATTTTTATTTCTATTACTTTATTGCTCGTAGTCTTAGTATCTGTTTAAAACAAATAATATCCAAATAACTCTAAATAGAACAGTAACATATAGAAAATCGGTACTAGTTTCATCTTTTTTTATAATTTATAAAATAAATTAGTATGGATTTTTAGAGATCAAATCATATTTTTATTTTGTTAGAAAGTAGTAAACCACCTTTGAAACTAATTAGGAAAATAAATTTATCCATTTTTGACAAGTGGAGAATCATTTGTACCTGGTCATAGTTTAGCGCTTAAAATCGGACAGTCATGCAGGTTAGAGATTTAGAAAATAAACTTTACCTAATTTATTATGACTTTCATGTCAAAGGCCCCCTGTTGCCCGTTCGGCTTGCTGAATTCTGTTCTGTGCTGAATTGTTGTGAGAGAAAAATACTGTTCCGGCTAAAAAAAAAATCGAATAAACCGGATATGAGGTAAGCCGAACAAGGGCAGTACGAGTAGTATGTACAACCGAATTCACATCTAAGCTAACAGTGCGGCTCGGCATTTGCAAAGCTGGACCAGCATTTTGGTGACACGACTACACTAGCACGGACACGGTTCACCTTCCTCCAGTTGTGCTCCTTCCTCGCTTCAGTAGAGCAGGTTGGCTAAGGGAGAGAAGAAAAGCTGGTCCTGCCACGGGCTGCGCAGCTGAAACGGGTCCTGCATCCAGTCCACGACTCCGAGGTTGTTCGTCGGCACCTGCAGGGTGGGCAGCTCAGCGTGCCTCACCGCCGGGGGCTGCACAGCGGCCATGCTCGCGGCATGCACCAGCGACGACGACGTCGACGCTACCGTGACCGCCGTGGCGTCCGCGGCCTCCGTCTTGGCCTCCCTGTGCGGGGGCGCGCCGTAGCTGTCGCCCGACGGCGCGTACGAGGACGAGGACGGGAACTGCAGGAAAGTGCTGCCGTGGGCGTCGTCCGACGACAGGTAGTCGTCGCCGCCGGAGCCTGCGGCCTGGACCAGGGATGCTGCTCTGGCCGCGCTGCTGCGCCTCTGCATCTCCTCCATGGCAGAGGCCCTCTGCTCCAGCTCCTTCAGTGGGGTGGCCTTCCTGTAGATCTTGCAGAGCACCATGTCTTCCTGCAGAAGCACACGACGACCGTCAGGCATTTGTGTCAATCCGTCTACCCTCTGCCGTGACTGCATGAAGAATCTCCATGCAATTTAATGAAAAAAGCTAGTCAACTCCTAAGTCAACCACGTCGATTCTCACGTCTACTCTTGCGTTCATGGATGTCTACATCACTGTTACCAAAACTGACCAACATATATAAATGAGAGAAGATATCACGAACAAGAACCCCGATCAGCAATTTGCCTCCCCCGGTTAATGTTAAAACCGCACACCGATTTGGCAATTTCATACGAAACCAGCTAAACTAATATACAGTTAAATACGCACTGTAATAATCAGTAAACGCTTCACACTATAGCTTGTGCTTGATATGATTTTGGTGTCAGCTGAGTTCTAGGACAGCGAAACTCATAGGCAAGAACTGCAATAGAGTGGACGATTGCTGGATTACCTTGGGAGGCGGCGGCGCGGCGCGGCCGGCGGCGGCGTGGTCGGGGATGCGGTACTCGTTCATGACCCAGTCCGTCTTGGTGCCGCGCGGGGCGCGCCCCTGGTAGAAGACGAGTGTCTTCTTGAGCCCGATCACCCGCTTGGCGTCGGCGGAGCTCCGGATGGCCCTGTCCGACCCCGTGGCCTTCCAGAACCCGCGCTCCGTCGTCCGGTTCGGCCGCCCGCCGTTGCCGGTCTTGCGGTCGCGCGGCACGAAGAAGTACCACTCCCTCTCCCCGATCTTTGCCATCGCTGCAAAACCATGCATCTGCATCGATCAGACACTGCGCTGGATCGTCTCAACAAGAACACAAGCTGTTTGCTACGTATCAACGACGTACCAGGAAGGTCCCAGGGGTCGTGGCGGTAGATGTTGAGGGTGCCGATGATGTCGAAGTGGAGCTGCTTGCCGTGGACGACGCGGGAGAGGTAGAAGCCGAGGAGCTCCTCCTCGGTGGGGTGGAAACGGAAGCCCGGGAGGTCCTGCTCCACCTCCATGGACGGCGCCCCGGCCATCATTGCCATCGGTATGGTGCTCGTTCGACTATCTGCTCTCGTGAATCTTCTTCTCGGACTTGCTCGGTTGGTCTGCTCTGCTTGCTTGCTGCACTGGAGCACGATCGGTGAAGAGGGTGTGGTGGTGTTTCGCGGTCTCGCTCGCTTATATAGACCTGTACAGCTGTGGGTTCAAGTCACGCGGTTTCTAGGAGACCAGCAATCACGTAGAACAACGCTGAAAAGGACAAGTACTTGCTTGAGATGAGATGAGTGGGCCCCTCGGCCCGGCGGCTCAACAACAATAAAAATTTCAGTGTATTTTGCAGACAGTTATTTTTTTATTTCATTTGGAGTGTGTATTTGGACTCTGGAGACTAGTTAAGTCACACATTTTGACCCTTTTTCTATACATCTAAAAAAGAGGTAACCTTCTGGTTGTGTTTGAATAATGGCAGTGACTGTCCAACTTCGAACACCTAATGGTCGAATGCTATATTAGAAGGTTCTATTACTCTTTTAAGACGAATTCCATTTTCATGATTCATGATGATCCGTCAGATTCATTAATTAAGAGGAACTCAAGCACTAAATATAACCATCGATGTGTCCTCCTTGTTTAAATTCAGGACGTAAAGTTTTGGATGTCACATCGGGTGTCACGTGGGGGTGTCGTATGGGGTGTTCGGATACTAATAAAAAAACAAATTATAGAATCCGTCAGTAATCCGCAAGATGGATTTATTAAGCCTAATTAATCCATCATTAGCACATGTGTACTGTAGCACCACATTGTCAAATCATGGATTAATTAGGCTTAAAAGATTCATCTCACAAATTAGTCGTAAACTATGCAATTAGTTATTTTTTAGTCTATATTTAATACTTCATATATGTGTCCAAATATTCGATGGATAAGGAGTAAACTTTAGAACGAGAAACTAAGTAAGGCCATAATCTATGATTTGCCCATTAGCGGTTGAGAACTACCGAAAATCACTGAAGCCCATTACTTGTTAATGCTGCATTATAAGATGACTTCTTGCATAGCAGTTATAGCTTTAATGTCCAGCGTTTTTTTTAAAAAAAAAACAGGCTTGGTTCATTGACGAGTAAAATGATTTAGTTTGTGGTTCACGGATGTATTTTCCACCCCTAGGTTAGTAAGCATTTCCTCTCTATCTTTTGATTGCTAAGGTTGTGCTGTTTTTTTTTTTCTAGGTTCGAAAATGGAGTTGTTCTTGGATTGTCGGTCAATCAGCATATTTAAAAAGGAAGATTGTGCTTTCACTGCTATGAAAATACCTATCACTGCTCGTTCTAAACTGGCAGTAATACTTCCAAAAATAAAGTAAAATGTGTGTTTCTTCGGATTCCAGCCAATGACTCAGGCCTCACGCATAT